GATCACACTCCTCAGCCTCCCCGGGAAAGTCTATGCCAGGGTACTGGAGAGGAGAATTCGACCGATAGTCGAACCTCAGATTCAGGAGGAACAATGCGGTTTTCGTCTTGGCCGTGGAACACTGGACCAGCTCTATACCCTCTTCAGAGTGGTGGAGGGTTCATGGGAGTTTGCCCAACCAGTCCACATGTGTTTTGTGGATCTGGAGAAGGCATTCGACCATGTCCCTCACGGTGCCCTGTGAGGGGTGCTCCGAGAGTACGGGGTCCGGGGCCCTTTGCTAAGGGCTGTCCGATCCCTGTACGACCGGAGCAGGAGCTTGGTTTGCATTGCCGGCAGTAAGTCAGACTTGTTTCCAGTGCATGTTGGACTGTGGCAGAGCTGCCCTTTGCCACCAGTTCTATTCATTATTTTCATGGACAGAATTTTCGGTGCAGCCAGGGGCTGGAGGGAGTCCGGTTTGGGGACCACAGGATCTTGTCACTGCTTTTTGCAGATGACGTTGTCCTGTTGGCTCTATCAAACCAGGACCTCCAGCCTGCACTGGGGCGGTTTACAGCCGAGTGTGAAGCGGCTGGGATGAGAATCAGCACCTCCAAATCCGAGGCCCTGGTTCTCAGTTGGGAAAGGGGGGTTGTTCACGAGTGAGGGAAGGATGGAACGGGAGATTGACAGGCGGATCGGTGCAGCTTCTGCAGTAATGCGGTCGATGTACCGGTCCGTCGTGGTGAAGAAGGAGCTGAGCTGTAAGGTGAAGCTCTCAATTTACTGGTCGATCTACGTTCTGACTCTCACCTATGGTCATGAGCTTTGGGTCATGACCGAAAGGGCAAGATCCCGGATACAGACGGCCAAAATTAGCTTCCTCCACAGGGTGTCCGGGTGCACCCTTAGAGATAGGGTGAGGAGCTCGGTCACCCGGGAGGAGCTCAGAGTAGAACCGCTGCTCCTTCACATCGAGAGGAGCCAGCTGAGGTGGCTCGGGCATCTATTTTGGATGCCTCCTGGTTGCCTTCCTAGGGCGGTGTTCCGGGCATGTCCCACCAGGAGGAGGCCCCGGGGAAGACCCAGGACACGCTGGAGGGACTATGTCTTTTGGCTGGCCTGGGAACACCTTGGCATTCCCCAGGAGGAGCTGGAGGAAGTGTCTGGAGAGAGGGAAGTCTGGGCATCTTTGCTTAGACTGCTGCCCCCGCGACCCGGTTCCGGATAAGCGGAGGAAAATGGATGGATGAATGGTAGATGTTGGCATGTCATATGACCATATGGCAAATATATGCAAAAAGATGCATATACAGTACAATAAACTGTATTCCACTTCACCATGACGCTGAAGAAAACTCTTCACATGTAAAAAAAAATAAAAAAAACAGGAAGTTAAATTATGAAAACCTGGTGTAATGTGCAATTGATTTTTAACCGGAAATCCAGCAGTTTTTTTTTTTTTTACGGGACTGGGACTGAAACAGTCCACTGAAGTGTGAGGACCTGTTAAGTCTTGTTCTATGTGAACATTTGCCAAAGCTTCAACACAGTAGCTGCATGCCTCTGTTGTGTTTTACAGGTACATTTCGACTGAAGTACACTCCTCAGTCTGACAGTAAGGACTCAGGGGACTAACCAGCAGGAGCACCTGTGGATTCGAACAACTGTACCTCATGTTGAGCTGAAGCCAGCAGACAGCGGCCACACTGAGTGCACACACAGCCTGGGTACAACCAGGCAAAGTGAACCTGTTGGTTGAACAGCACAGGCCCCTTTGTAACCCCTTGCCAATAACTAAGACAGATTAAGAGGCAGATGGGCAAGAAGTAGAATGGTAAGAAGATAAGAGGAGAGGAGCGGTTGACAGTCTGCAAACGCTGCCTCACTTCCTTTCAGAGACGCAACTGGAGCTCTGATTCATGCACAGGAGAAACACTACAAACAGCAAAAGGTAACACCTTTACCAGGTTATTATTACCAGAGAGTCTCAAAACCTGCTCATCAGCTAAGTGACAGAGCATTTCTTGTCTTCTGGATGGTTCACAAATCAAAGGCACAGAACTGCATTATCCCCTTAACTTCCTGGATGCTCAGTTGTGTGTTTTATGTTCTGAAACATAAAACACATTTAAAGGATGTTTTTATTGTGACAGACTGAATACCTTGGCTTTACTGTTGGTCCAGCATTCTGAACACAAACACCAAAAAAAAAAACAAATGCCAGTGTGAGTGTACTGGTAAAGAACTTCTCAAGGTTTAAATCCTAGATGACTGAATACATCAGTCTTCCTCTTGTATGTCTTGTGGGCAGGTTTGGTTCACTACTGTCATTTGATTGCATGTGATGTAGATTCTACATAAAAGAGCAGTGTCCCATTCCCATACTACATACTAACTGTATAATATATCCACTGTACTTTATTCAAAATGGTAATGTATGCTGTTTTTTTGCAGTTCACATACAAGAAATCAACATACTTTATCATTTTATACAAAGAGAAAAGGACACAGTCGATCGAACTGTTGGTGGTTTGTCGTCCAGTTTTCATTTTTAATATTTTTTATGTTATGCATTTCAATGTGGAAGAATAACATCCTTCAGTATTTGAGTCTGCATACTGACAATTCTGAATATGCTTAGAATTAGTGTATTATGGATGTAGGACACAGCTAAGGTGTTACAAATAAGGTTTTCCTTTCTACTGTCACCCCTTTGTTCACCATCCTTGAGGAGGAGTAAAAGAAGAAATAAATGTTAAAGGTGCCCTGTGGGGTTTTGCTATGGAGCAGTGTTTTGATGAGTGGGCCCCCAGTAACCAGTGCAGGATTTAAAGTATTCAAGGGTTTTATGAGGTGTTTATCACACTGTTTGGTGAAAAACGTTCTTCAACTTTTTGTAAAACTCATCAAACTCACTCCACATTAAAAGCACTTTTAATATGATTTAGTTCTAGCTTTACAGAGGCTAGAACTAACAGTGTATTCATGTCACAGTGTTGCCTGTAGAACGTGTGACAATCAAAAGCTCTGCTGAGGTCCATGGCTGTCGTAGCTTACAGTGTGAGCTACTACATGGTGGGTGACGGGCAAACAGTGCACCAGGTCAAGACGGCATCTCCCTGCAACTTCGACGGTTCTGTAACAACACTGCCGGGATGCTAATAAGAGTTATGTCCTGGGTTCTCCACATTTGCTTTATGTGATATATTTATCAGTAGTCAGTAAACACCAGTACATGACAGGTGTTGATGAAGATCATGAGGTGTGATCAGGTCACCCACAGCAACTGGAACTCGTCTTGAGCAGCTGGGGATCACAGGAGGAAGTTGCTTGTTCAGCAGTGCCCAGTGCTGAATTTTTCGTCTTTCTGGACATTGTGCATCTAATTGATCTCTGAGCCAACCTGAGAACAAAATCTCCACCAGGACAGGACAATCAGAATGCAGCCTAAAAGGTTTCAAGCTATTAAGAGACATCTTTGTCAGGATCTAGAATTAAACCAGTGTTTCAATAGTGACAATTGTTTTTCAGTTCAGTTTGATGGATGTTAATCCTAAACTTTTTCCTCACTCCAGGAGAGGTAGAGCTGACACTGTTTAAATCATTGTAGACAATGTTTATGCAGGTTTCAAGTCAGGACTGTTGAATTTTGAGAGCTGGAAAAACTGTATACTTAAGAGTTCAAGGTATATTTAAGCGAGTGAGTTGCTGGGCAGGACCCAGAGATTTACAGTACAGACACGAGGACAGCTGGTTCTTCATGTGAAACCCTATCTGTACCCCTGGAGGGCTCAGCACACGTGTTTATTTAATATGAGAAATACTGAACATTCAGTGAACATTCAGTATGTCTGACAATTTATGTGTGTTGTTTAAAATAAGGCAACAATGTGCTTTTGTATGTAGGCTTTTCACACAAACATGGGGCTGAAAATCAACCAGCCAGCCCGGATTTTAACAGCTGTCTCGATGGACAAGGATGTATAACAGAACATTGCCTTGGCCTTTTTTCATTTTATTGTCTTTTATAGAGCATACCAAAACAATACATTCTTTTGAGTTTTTTGTTTGTTTGTTTTTTTGGACAAAGGACACCAGGGTTTTTTTGTGCTTGTTTGTTTGTGTAGTTTTTTTACTCTAATCCTTGCAGTAGAGCCTGGCTAACTGATGATCCAGCATGTACAGTGCCTTGCGAAAGTATTCGGCCCCCTTGAACTTTGCGACCTTTTGCCACATTTCAGGCTTCAAACATAAAGATATAAAACTGTAATTTTTTGTGAAGAATCAACAACAAGTGGGACACAATCATGAAGTGGAACGAAATTTATTGGATATTTCAAACTTTTTTAACAAATAAAAAAACTGAAAAATTGGGCGTGCAAAATTATTCAACCCCCTTAAGTTAATACGTTGTAGCGCCACCTTTTGCTGCGATTACAGCTGTAAGTCACTTGGGGTATGTCTCTATCAGTTTTGCACATCGAGAGACTGAAATTTTTGCCCATGCCTCCTTGCAAAACAGCTCGAGCTCAGTGAGGTTGGATGGAGAGCGTTTGTGAACAGCAGTTGTCAGTTCTTTCCACAGATTCTCGATTGGATTCAGGTCTGGACTTTGACTTGGCCATTCTAACACCTGGATATGTTTATTTGTGAACCATTCCATTGTAGATTTTGCTTTATGTTTTGGATCATTGTCTTGTTGGAAGACAAATCTCCATCCCAGTCTCAGGTCTTTTGCAGACTCCATCAGGTTTCCTTCCAGAATGGTCCTGTATTTGGCTCCATCCATCTTCCCATCAATTTTAACCATCTTCCCTGTCCCTGCTGAAGAAAAGCAGGCCCAAAACATGATGCTGCCACCACCATGTTTGACAATGGGGATGGTGTGTTCAGGGTGATGAGCTGTGTTGCTTTTACGCCAAACATAACGTTTTGCATTGTTGCCAAAAAGTTCGATTTTGGTTTCATCTGACCAGAGCACCTTCTTCCACATGTTTGGTGCGTCTCCCAGGTGGCTTGTGGCAAACTTTAAACGACACTTTTTATGGATATCTTTAAGAAATGGCTTTCTTCTTGCCACTCTTCCATAAAGGCCAGATTTGTGCAGTATACGACTGATTGTTGTCCTATGGACAGAGTCTCCCACCTCAGCTGTAGATCTCTGCAGTTCATCCAGAGTGATCATGGGCCTCTTGGCTGCATCTCTGATCAGTCTTCTCCTTGTATGAGCTGAAAGTTTAGAGGGACGGCCAGGTCTTGGTAGATTTGCAGTGGTCTGATACTCCTTCCATTTCAATATTATCACTTGCACAGTGCTCCTTGGGATGTTTAAAGCTTGGGAAATCTTTTTGTATCCAAATCCGGCTTTAAACTTCTCCACAACAGTATCTCGGACCTGCCTGGTGTGTTCCTTGTTCTTCATGATGCTCTCTGCGCTTTAAACAGACCTCTGAGACTATCACAGTGCAGGTGCATTTATACGGAGACTTGATTACACACAGGTGGATTCTATTTATCATCATTAGTCATTTAGGTCAACATTGGATCATTCAGAGATCCTCACTGAACTTCTGGAGAGAGTTTGCTGCACTGAAAGTAAAGGGGCTGAATAATTTTGCACGCCCAATTATTCAGTTTTTTATTTTTTTTTTAGTAAAACATGCTTTTGTGTGCAAATTTGACAGTTTATAATTAGCCAATTCATTTGTAGGTCAGATTTTATATTTTTTATTGTGGTGTTTTACAGCTTTACTGTGTTTTTTTTTCTGAACTTTGGGGAGAAAAATGTGTTTCAATAATAAAATATTCTCTGACCCTTCTTTCATCTTTTTTGCCCTGTGAGCTATTTATTGAATGGGTGTAAAGTTTGTTAAGTGCTGTCTTGCCATCTTGCATTACAGTTTTTCTCAGTGGCTTTGGTACATTTCTCAAAACATTCTTGATACTTGCAAAACAATAGCAGCATTTCTCAAAACAATTTGTATAAAGAGCACCACACAATGGATTAGCTGCAAAAGTTCATCACTTGCTCAAAGTCCATGGTTTATCTCTCAAAAGTAAATACTTATGTCAGTGAACATGTCACTGCATCAGAAGGCTGGACATTCAACATCTTTTCTAGCTCTTCTTTCAGCCCTTGGTATTTCTCGAGCTTCTCATGTTCCTTTTTCCTGATGTTGCTATCACTTGGGAATGCTACATCTATCACTACAGCCTTCTTCTTCTGTTTGTCCGGTTGGTTGGCCATTACCAGTTTGTCTGTTTGTATCTGGAAGTCCCACAGGATCTTAGCTGGGTCATTCTCAACCACATTTGGAGGTTTATCCCATTTTGACTTTGGGACTTACAGCCTATACTTGGCACAGATGTTTCTGTACACTATGCCAGCCACTTGGTTATGGCGTTCCATGTATGGCCTGCCCGCTAGCATCTTGGCCTGCTAGCATCTTGCACCCCACTGTTTTGTGCTGGATTGTCTCAGGGGCATCTTTGCACAGCCTGCACCTGGGGTCCTGTCTGGCATGGTAGACCCCGACCTCTATTGATCTTGTACTTAGAGCCTGTTCCTGTGCTGCCAGGATTATGCCTCTGTGCTGTCCATGCATTGTAAGGAGCTTCCTTGTCTTGATGTCAGCGGCCTCTATCTCCTCCTTTGGCCAGCTTATTATGCCAGCAGGGTACCTGATGACTGGCAGGGTGTAGGTGTTAATTGCCCAGACTTTGTTGTTTCCATTCAGCTGACTTCTCAGGACTTGCCTTACTCTCTGCAGGTACTTGGTGGTTGCTGCTTTCCTTACGCCCTCTTCATGGTTCCCATTTGCCGGCAGGATCCCAAGGTACTTGTAGCTGTCCTCAACATCCGCTATGTTGCCTTATGGTAGTACAATCCCCTCAGTTCTGACTACCTTCCCTCTCTTTGTTACCATTCAACCACACTTATCCAGTCCGAATGACATTCCAATGTCCTGGCTGTAGATCCCTAGTGGTGTGGATCAGTGAGTCGATGTCTCGTTCACTCCTGGCATACAGCTTGATGTCATCCATGTAGAGGAGGTGGCTGATGGTTGCTCCATTCTTGGCCTCTAGGGTTGTTTTCCACATTCCCACTGAGTTCTTGATGAAGGCTCTTAGAGTCCTGTCGATGTTGTACAGTTCCAAGCATTCCAGGATCCGGGTGTGAGGCACTGAGTCATAGGCTTTCTTGTAGTCAATCCAGGCAGTGCACAGGTTGGTATGCCTGGTCTTGCAGTCTCGAGTGACTACTTTATCAACCAGTAACTGGTGCTTTGCTCCTCTGGTGTTACTACCAATTCCTTTCTGGGCGCTGCTCGTGTATTGAGCCATGTGCCTGCTTATCTTAGCTGCTATGATGCCTGACCGTAGCTTCCATGTTGTGCAGAGGCAGGTTATTGGGCAGTAGTTGGATGGTACTGCTCCCTGAGGGTCCTTCAGGATCAGGACTGTCCGGCCTTCAGTTAACCACTCAGGGCGGGTTGCATCCATTAGTAGCTGGTTCATTTGTCCCGCCAGGCGCTCATGGAGTGAAGTTAGCTTCTTTAACCAGTAGGCGTGGATCATGTCAGGGCCTGGTGCTGTCCAGCTCTTCATACTAGAGACCCTCTCTTGAATGTCTGTCATTGTGATGATTGGTGGGTCTTGTTCAGGGAGGTTGCTGTGGTCTGCTCTTACAGTATTGTTCAAAATAATAGCAGTACAATGTGACTAACCAGAATAATCCAGGTTTTTAGTATATTTTTTATTGCTATATGGCAAACAAGTTACCAGTAGGTGCAGTAGATTCTCAGAAAGCAAACAAGACCCAGCATTCATGATATGCACGCTCTTAAGGCTGTGCAATTGGGCAATTAGTTGAAAGGGGTGTGTTAAAAAAAATAGCAGTGTTGCATTCAATCAGTGAGGTCATCAATTTTGTGAAATAACAGGTGTGAATCAGGTGGCCCCTATTGTACCTCTGTACTCTGTATTGTACCTCTTCACCCGGATGGCCAGGGCTTTGTGACCCTTTGCTTGGCAGTCTCTAAGGCCTCTGGTATGGTCAGTGTGTTGTACTTTGTAGGGACCCCTTTCTTCTTTTCTTATATATATATATAGTGCAGTCCTAGGAACAGCTATGATACTGCACAGGAGACACAAGCTCTTGGGCCTCTGGTAGAGGACCTGAGCTTGAAGGAGGGAATACAAGACCGCCCCAAAGTGTGGGGGGTGGGGAGTGCAGAATATTAAATATATGCAGTATGTATGTGTATATATATATATATATATGTATACACACTGTGTGTGTGTGTATATACATATATATAGATAGATAGATAAAGATATAATTGTTGTAATAATATATAAATCTTAATAATTTACAAGATTTCAATTCAGTGTGGCAACTTGACCCAAAATCAGTGACATGTCCCATGCTGCAGTGTTTGCAGCTAATTGTGCTATCTAGCATAGCACAGGAAATTTGAATAAGGTATATAAAAATCTATAATCTCACCTCTTCAAAGTAAAAATGTATTATCTTGAACATTCTTTATTTGTTGAATAAAACTCCTCCTATCTTTATTCAAGAACATGATCTGTGCGCACAACACTGCTTGCCTCTTCTAGACCTTTAGATAATTGTGGTATAATGAAGTGGTAATGTTTTGGTATATAAATGTCAATTTACTGGTGTTTGCACGGGCGGTGGAAAAAATACTCACATTGCTTACTTAAGTGAAAATAGCAATAATGGTGTAAAACGTCACAGGCATTGCTAAACCCAGTATTGATCTGCTGTGTCTCAGTAAAATCATATGTTTGAGCGTTAATGTTAGAAATTAACCCAACTCTTTTATTGGAAGCATGAGAAGTGAAGACAGGAAAGGACTGTTTAAAATCAGTAGGAAGTTTACTGAAAGTCTGAGCACAGGTAGGCCTTACAGCGCTGGGATAAGAGGGACAGAGCTCCCGCAGGAGTTCCATCCTCTGAACCCCGAATTAAGTTCTTACAATACATTTTATCTTCTTGGGCTGCTCCGCCCTGGACAGGGGTGCAACCTTCAATAGTTTGTGATCCTATTGGTCATTCGGTGTGAGCCGGAGCTCACACTTCCATGTTGAAATATGGTAAATCTAGGTATGTGTGTGTGTGTGTGTGTGTGTGTGTGTGTCTTCGGCACCCTGATCTTGATCTCGAGGTGCACTGATCAATCGGTGGTCTG